ATAAATCCGGTTATGGTCCAGGGGCTTGGGCTGGTAGGTGACTTGGGCCGTTGCCAGTTGAGCCTTGCAGTCTCCCGCTAAAAATTCCCCATGATGCATGAGGTCTCCTTGGCAGCTATGATTACTCCTTTTAATTGGCAAAGATTACTGACAAACATTTGTATACCCCAATCAATTCACCCTAACTTGGTTAGTGCCCTGCTAAAAACATATACTCATCAACTTACGTGAAAAAGCCACTCTATACCAAACTTTTACTAGAATTAGCCTTAGGACATTTATTGTGACAACTTGAGGTTGGCTGATGGAAGGGGCTTGACCCCTATGCCGCTGTAATTACTCAGGGGCCTTGCTCAGTACTTGTACCTTTTAACGTTTTTTTCTAAACCTGTGTCCTCTTAACCTAGCCCCCAGAAAGTTCCCGGGTGGGTAGCAGGACCCTACCCGTTGCAACTTTTCCAGAGATTAGCCATGATGTGAAACTGTGTTGGGTCTGCGTGCGGGCGTCAAAGTCAAAATAGGTGTTGTAGATTGTTACGGTTAGTATATCCTTAAAGGAATTCCTAAGAAGGCTATAAGGGTGAGATGGAAGGATGCAGGGAATTAGGTTGCGACTGGGTTGGGGATGTAATGTATCGTTTTAACAGCATTTTCCGGGTGTGGGTGTCTACGGGTAGCGAGATTGAAGTAGGGGTGAAGGTTGGATATGTTGGTGGGAGTAGTCGGCTTTCAAAAAGTCATATATGTGGATGAAAGGTGGGTCCATCAGCGGAAGGGAAGGTAAAGATAGGAGCGGAGCGAAAGACGACGACAGAGAGATTTTTTTTTTGCGTGCTCGTTGATAAAGTGGGCAAGTCCAACAGAATGTGGCTGACTGATAATGGAGCTTGGCAATTCTCACACAGAGAGGAGCAAGAGCCTCTCATTGATATCCATGAGTAAGACGAGTATGCCAATGCGAAGACGGGAGAGAGTAGTCTCCCAACCTCGAACTGGTGATAAGAAGACGGCCAGTAACCTATACTCGGTTTAATAGACTGAAGTTTGTTGCCGAGCATAGTAGACCAACGTTGTTGCCAACGGGTGTTGAAGGTGGGAAGATATTGCCGCAAAATAGTCCGTAAATAAATACCTCTATAAAAAACTGGTAGGTCATGTACTGCTGACGGCGCAGCAGTGTCTGCCTGTTCATTGCCCTGTACGTCAACATGACCAGGGACCCAACAAAAAACAATATCTTTATGCTTGGTAAAGTGCGGCGTAGCCAAGTTGGATACGGAGGACTACCGGTGAGGTGTATCAAATTTTTGTATAGGCCTGTAAAGCACTAAGGAGTCTGAGACAACCACAAATGATGACACAGGCATAGATGCAATACGGATAAGTGCTGTAAGGATGGCATATAATTCAGCAGTAAAAATACTAGCGAAGATGTAAATGCCTTGTACGACACTGTCCGGAAACACTGTGCGAACACCCTAGAAGCTGAGATCTGTGTACACACTGTGAGAATGGAGTGAAAGTGGTAGAAAAAGAGACGACGACCGTAGACAGTTGGGCTTTCGAGAAGGGAGGGAGACACTCGAACCTGGAACTCCAGGGGGGTAGGATGATGCTACAGTATAGAAATGGGGTTGAGAGAGACAGAGCGAATGAAAGGCGAAGAGAAAGGCGAGTAACAGGGCGCAACAATAAGATGTCATATATCAGCATTCATAAGGAGGATTGGGAGACATGAAGTGTCATAGAGCGCAGCAGGCATCACGCGAGGTAGGATTGAGTTCGCTTCTGTGGGCTCTCGCAGGGGGAGGAAGACCAGGCTAATACCTTTGATAATGGGGTTAGGTAGAGGTAGCAGAGTCGCTGAATAGATCTGCACCATAATCAAGTTCATAAAATAGGGTGGATGTAGGCGAAGGGGGTGACGTCAGCTAAGATGAGCAAGGGTTTTAGAAGTTCGCCGGTACGTTGCTAGAGAGGTAATGTAGTTGGATAATATCAAAGAGGAGGCCCCTTACTGTATACTCAGGGTACACCATAGAGGTACAAAGGTGATCGGAGATGAGGTTAGGAAAGTGTTTGTGGGTTTTAGTGCTGAATTTAAACCAGTGTGGGGCCCATGGCAGGTCGACGCATTTGGAGAGAAACTGTAAGGAGGTGACAGAGCGCCTCCAGGTGCGAGTCTCAACATAGAGTGATACAATTTGATGGAAGTAGAGCCAATCATAATGCAGGAGAAAAAGTGTGTTCAAACCATCCGGGGAATGCTTGGATAAAGTCGGGGGGACACATTTACCCAAACGGAAATGCCTGTCATTAAAAAGTTTTAGGAAGGGGTAGATTGCTCAAGCTAGGAGTGGGCTTGGTAATTTATCCTCATTGTAATGTTCTCAGGTAAAAATTGGCAATAACTGAGTGGTTATTGAAAGGCGAACATACGTATCACTGTAAGGTCTAGGTAAAACGTCCTTACGAAGCCATATTGACGTGGGGACTGTTGGTGAAATACCTGGATTTACCGGGATTGGGGTTCATCGCACGCTTACCGCTTGGGGTGAGG